TGTTAATGAAAAGGCAAGGCACAGAACATTATATACAGCATGCTAGGCTAGTATCTATATAAACAAAGGGTGGAAATTTTATATAGGTATTTGCTTGCAAATGCATATACTATGTATAAAAAAAAAGTCCAAGAATTTACTAATATTACTTGTTTAAAAAAAAACAGGGGTAGAGGAAAAATGTATCCTTTTTGCCTTTTGAATATTGAGTCTTATGAACAAATGACTCATTTGAAAATAATGAATAAAAATTTAAATGAATCAAATTACAAAATCATAGGTCAATGAAAACACTAACCTTTAACTTGGTCATCAAATTGAAGAAAAAATGTAGAGGTATTTCTGGAATCTTGATTTAAGTTTTGGATAAACAAAAGGAAGCATGATGTTATTCAGTGGCTTTGTCCATTCATTGCATTCCTTACCCTGAGTGGACATGATTAGAAAATTTAAGTATAAATAGAAATAGAATCAAGAAAGGTGGTATAAGTTCATGGACACTATTTAATGATTTTTAGTCTTAAGGGAAACAAAAAAGTCTTGAGACAAATCTTTGATCTTAGAGGGTGATGCTAAATAATGAAATAGTGAATGCTGTTCCATATCTATTTCTGTGGTGCTACTGTCAGCCAAAGGTAAGCTGGAATTCAGTACCTTAGTCATTTTCTCAGTTTCTAGCTACACACTGTAAAGGCTGCATGGGCTACCCATGGTGGCTCTAATTTCTACCTAAGCTTGATAAATTCTTTGCCTAAATGTTCACATTGAAGTGGATTGTTTTATGACTAAACATGATTGGATCTAGGCTATTTGAACCGAAGGGGAATTATTTTGCTCCTTGTATAGTTCTCAATTTGTGCTTCTGATATATTGTCCCATTCTGGAACCCTAGGACCTATGCATATCACTTGGGTATATCTTAGTCAGATGACTAGGCTCTATCATTATTATGCAATCAATAGATATTTGGTAAATATCAACTATGTCAAGGGATTGTGGTGAATGAGTAGGACACAGATACTATGACTTCAGGAAGGCTGTACAGTCTAATAGAAGGGTCGAGTGGGTATGTTCTAGACAGTATTAGCTAAATGCTGGGCTAAATATGGGAGTCTTAGTATGCTGGACTGTGGAATTCAGGTGAGTCATGTACTATTCAATTTGTGTCTCATCTGTATGGCCTTTAGGGAACTGTTTCATAGAGAAATAAGAGATGTAAACATAATTTGTTTATTATCATTAAACATCCAAGTAACATAAATGACGAAAGAAAACAAATGTAAGAGTGAACACTGTCCGATGTTGCTTGTGGTTGGCTTGTCAATGTAGAGAAGTAGCACCACCTTGAGGCACATGACACACCATACCTCTATGCACCCCAGGCCTCTGTAACTTGACAAGTACAGAGGAGTTTTGAACCGTTTTAAAATGGATTTTCACATATTCTATCGGTGATGTTGGGCTGAGGTGGAGAGGGGGTGGAGGATAGGTCCATAGCAGGAATATGGACAGAAGCCGCCTTGTTTTAGATCACCCCTTTCTAAATATTCAGAGCCTATCAGATTTGTTTTTTATTTGGCTTATCTTCCCATTCCCAATCGCTTTGGCATGCTCTTGCATGTTCTGTCTATAAGGTGAAGTTATTTGTATATCTAAAGGGAAAATAATGCATTTAAAAATTAGTCTTAAATTTTGAGTCATTTGCTTAATTGCTGGCCAAGGCAACCTATGGAAACAAAAATCAGCATTTTCACAGTTTAGAAATAAGCAATTTAAACATTTTGTATCAGTTAGAGAATTGTGGGAAGGCATTACTTAAAATAACCTGCTTGAGCACCACATTACTTAATTAGTAGAACTGAGTCTGAGTGCCTCGGCATGAGCATAAGACAAACTAATTGGAAAAAATGAGTCAGGAGGATAGAGAAGAAAAAGAGGGAGGGCAGGTAGCAGATACAAGGACTGGAGAGAAAAAGACAATAGAGGAAAGAATTAGGGAAAGGAAAGGATGCAAAGCAAATGAAAACAAGACTTGGAAAGGGTAGAAATAGACAACGGCAGGTTAGAACCTATCCAAACCATACAAACCAACCACAGTCTGGCTGACGTGAGGGTGCCATGCACAAAAGACACAAATATGCTGTTGGGTTGGTGCCTGATGAATGGTGCCTTGGATCCTTATCCACATAGGCCTATGATTTTGGTCCGATTTCCTCAAGCTCAGAGTTATCAAGGGATCCCCCATTTTCCAGGATTTCCCTGCAAAAATTCTAAATTCAACTGGCTTTGAAATCAGAAATGTAAGGGCACTCGAGAAGCGTGGACAGAGATAAGCTTCCAATTTGGGGTATCTCTGAAATGGAGCCCAGGCAATTATATCGAAGGTGGCTAAAAAGATTCTTAGGCGTTAAGCAAATAATTTTTAGTTATGACCAAATAATCTGTTGAGCTTGGAAAATGAAATGATAGATTGCAGCTCTGGTTCTTGTTGAATGGAATTATAATAAAACTAATTAAAATAGAAGTTAATACATCATCTATGAAAACCTGGAAAACAGGGACCCTATTAAAAATCATGGGCAAGACACAAGAGGAACTACATGCTTTGAGAAGCCCAACCCTCAAGTCACTTTCCTCTTTTCTAGTGAAGTTCTATATTTTGTAGGTATTGACCTCTAACTTCACTTTAAAAATAATCAAAAGGCAGGTAAAACTCATGGTAAAAAAAATCACTATGCTGAGCATGCCTGTAGTTGTAGTGCCTTTTCAGATCTTCCTTCTGACTTTTACACCTAACTTTTGTCTCTCTAAAAGGCTCCTGAGTGGATTTTACCTCTCTACAGTACCCCACAAGCATTAAGGTCTGAGATTTCTAGAGAAAGCCCCAACCCTCGTATGTCCTGGAAACATCTCTATTCCCCAAGCACCGGACTTTAAAAAGAAGTGTAGTATAACGTTAGAGTCAGGCAGATGTGAGTTGGAATTCTGGTTCTGGGGCCTATAAACTGTGTATCTTATACATATTCTCTAATTTTCAGTTCTGACAATAAAATATACAATGGGATTGACATAGAATAAGTACTCAGTAAAGGGTAGCTTTGTGTTTTGATTTACCTATTCTCACTCAGAATCTTGTTTTGTAAATTAAAAGCCGTAACCATATGCTGGGGGACTATGGCTTTGGTTTCCTATGTGTGTTATGTCATTTTGTGTTTAATTTCATAAACTTGTGTAACTCTGGGCCACATGGACTTAGGCAGGACTACTGATGTTGTTTCAGTGTTGACAGACTACTTTTAAATGAACACTCTAAACATAATTGACATCTTAATGAATGATCAAAAATACTTAAAGAATACAATGACTCGTACCCATCTTTTATAAGTAAGGCTCTTTATTACTAACTTAAAATGCTTTCCTTCTTATAAAATTTAATTTCCCCATTCTTTTACTATTATAAAAGGGGTGAGAATAAGTGACTATCAATGTCTACTATAGCTAAAATTTTTTTCTATAATCTTGACTTTTTTTTTTTAAAGCCAAATCCTCTTAATAACTTCCACTGTCTAGATCTTTATGTTAAAAACATTAAAACCATAGAAACACCAACAATTAAACCTACTTCAACTTTCTCTTCTTTCTACTCTATTCATGCCGGTTGGACTTGTTCCCTCTGCCTGTGCCAGGCCTAGTGCAGATTGATCTGTCTCACCTTATTCCAGTCTACCCCGATTTTGCTGTTCTGCCAACAATGATTAACTGCACTTACAGTCAAATACTAAAGCATGACACTGAAGTGCTTAAATCTTACTTCTCGAATAGGCTGAGAGCAACTTGTGAGCAAGGTCTAGACATTACTCTTCTATTACGTCCATCATGATCCTAGGGAACACAGTAAATGCTTAAAAAAAGAAATATTTTATTAATTTGTACAATCTACAGATTGATTTCACTTCTATTAATGGATTTCTTTAAGATATCATATTTATTAAGTATGGCTATTACCTAATGACCAAAAAGTGTGTGTGTGTATGCCATTTTTTCCCTTTAAAAAGTGTCAAAAACAAAACAAATAAGAATGGCTAAAATGAAACAATAAAACCAGATTCCGGTAGAAGGGAATAGGTGGTAAAAAACCACTTTTGTGCCAAAGGCGCTCCTTAGCATTTCTTTTTCCCACAGTTCATCCTGACGACCTTTCCACCACAATGGGATTGTGTCACGGTCAGTATAACCATGGCCTGACATTGGGCAAGATGCATCCATTGAGCCAGTTGTTCTCAGCTGGCATCCATTCTGACTCAGTCCCTATGCCGTACTATTTGTTAAATTTACTTATACTATTGCTCCTGGGTAAAGCTGATTGGCTGGCTGATTTTGAACACATCCATTCTTGTGACTATAAAACATGCAACTCCAGCATTTTCCTCAACACTCTGGTCATGAAAGTGATGTTAAAGAGGATTTTACGAAGAAATATTGCAACATCACTTTTGTTTTCATTTTAAAGTTTGTAAGTGCTTATGCTGTACTTACTCGATTCTCTCTAACACCTACTGCTTAGCTTCTCTTCATTTATAGCCCTCTGAACTGCCTCGTAGTTTCTAAAGCTTTAAAGCAGGAATCTATTCAGTAGAAAAGAAAACAGAGATTGCTCTGAGTAGGTAAGGATTAGAAATAGACTTGAGGTGTCAGAAAGAATTTAAAGGCTGGGAATAACTGACTAGCTGCTGGACAGATTTGCACACTCTACTCTAGGTCTTTGGGCAGGGACACTAAAGGTGCACAGCTGGCATCCAGAGGGCGAAAGAATCACTCCAAAGGTGACATCATTAATGACTCTCTCCTCTTCTCTACTACCTTATATTTAAATTGAGTAGTTTTATAAACCTTCTGTACCAAACTAGTTCTTGTCAAGAGTACAAAACATGGTGCTAATACAGGTAATCTTTCCTCTTAATTAACTATACATTCGTAAATATTAAAGAATTAGAAAAATAAATTATTCAACACTGACATTTTATTTTCCGAACTTTATCATTTTTACAAAACAAAACAAAAGGCAGGTATCAAAAACAGCAGAGCTTATAGGATTTCTGCACCAGTTTTCACATGTCAGTGATTATGAAACTGGTGTCCAAGGTAAATACTATACACAGGCTGATTTCCCTCTTGGTCATATGCATTCAGGTGGTTTGTTTTGGAGCTACTGAATAATATTTTATAAGCACCGGTCATTTTTTTTTTTTTTTTTGAGAACTGATTTGGTTTGTCCAACAAAGTAAACACTTTTTTCCTGCGTGGCATTTTTTTTTTTTTTAAACCACTGAGCTAAAATACAGAATGTGTGCGTGTTTGGATCTGAACCAAATCTTTTGAGATCCCAATTACCCTGAAGAACACTGAAGACATTTATAGGGCATATTAAATACTGGTTATATACCTCATAATGTCTAAGGCAGCTACTATAGCTCTATGGGAAGTATCATTTCATTCGGAGGCCGCCCAGAGTTTGAACTACATCATAGTTTCCATGTCCTTTCTGATTTGGAGTAGTTTCTCCAAATAGGGCCACATAATTGAAACAAAGTTTTATGCTCATGCCAAAAAGGCTCTGGTATTTTATAGATACATCTGCATAGAGCAAGACTCCTTGCTCTGGACCCTGGTGACCAAAGAAATCGAGAGGCCATGATTATTGGATGCTGAGAGGAAGAAGCATACTTAAACTCACATGATCTGGAGGCAAGCAGAAACAAAACTGGAACGCGGTAGTGGTGCTCACCCACCACTTGTCCCAGAAACACATTTTGCTTAAATAAAGGAAGTATGGTCCAGTTTTGCAATGTTAATAGCTGCCAGTCTCTGAAAAATATTTTTTATAAGAGTCATTTCCTGGCTAGCAACGAGTTAGGAAACCAGCATCCAATTTAGATCACTATTAGTTAAAAACAAAACTAAAAAACCAAAAACAAAAAACAGAAAAACAAAAAATGCCAGCCAATTAAGGGGTTAGAAATTACACAATTAAACGTGAATGTAAATTATACTATATACAGATTGGTATACACATCACTGAAATAGTTTTGAGAGCATGAAACACTTCTGTTGAAACATTCCCTCTATGTCATCCCAATTTTCATTAAAGGAAAACTGATATGTAATTTTCTTCTTTATAGATATGAAAGAGGAAGCAAGAAGGCAAAGCTGAGAGAAATAGATGCTACCCAAAGGGCAGCTGTGGCATTTGGTTGTTTTGGTCTTTGTACCAGCAATTCCCACACCCACAGGAGACATCCAGCTCCTGCTGGATTACACGGTTTTTCTGGCAGTCAACACTCGAACGATGGACCCCACTCCTCCAGCAGCAAGTGCCTAAAAATAAACCAAAATTAACTGTTGGCAGAATCAAAAAAGGTCAATTCTCCTACCAAATAAATCATTTTTCTTAAAGAAGGAATGTGTGCAGCTATTGATTCTAAATTTACTAATTTTCATAAATATTTCATGAGTACCTATTATGTACCAGGCACTGGGGATACCTTCAGAGTCCCTGACCACATGTGCTCACATTCTAGTGAGATACATTCTAGTATGTTGTTTTCAAATAACAGTATGTTCTTAAAGATCCACAGCATAATGTTCTTTCCTAAAACAGATGCTCAAATATAAATTTAGGGCATTTATTCCACTCTCTTATTCTCAGCACTGTCAGGAAGAAATTCAAACTTGAACAAACTATCCTAAGTTCCATTTAGTTAGAATTTATCAGATTTTTTTTCTCCCAAGTGAAGAATTATTATTTAATATCTAAGAAATTAAGAACTTTGACTTTACCTTGAAAAATCGGAAGTCATGATCAAGTATCTGAAGCTCTGATTTACTTGTGTTCAAAAGCACTTACTGAATACCTTTGTGTATTGGGTACTGTGCTAGATACTGGGGATATAAAAGTGAATAAATACAGCATTTTCTGGTCTACTAAAAAGAGAGATATATATACAGATCATTTTATATAATTATGAAGTGACAGAGCTATGCTTTAGGTGCTATAAAAGAACAGAGGGCACAAACCCAGCCTGAGGGTATAGAAAAATGTGCAATGGTTAGGTAAAGTTTCCTGGGGAAAATGATAAATTAAGTGGACAAGTAGGTAACAAACTGATATGAAAGGATAAGGAGGCACTCAGGCAGAGAAAAAATCAGGAGCAAAGGTACAGAGGTGTGAAAAGTTATGGTGCGATCAGAGAAAGGGCTGGCATTGCTGGAGCATAAGGGGAAGAATGGCATGAAGAAGAGGCTGATCTTGGGAACCTAGACTTTATTCTTCAGGTGACTGGCAATGGTAGATCTGGATTTTAGAGAGAGCATTCTGGTACTGGGTGAAGAAATTTGAAGGAGGGAAAACTGGCAGCTGGGATACCAGTTTAGGAAGCGATAGCAACAGACTGGGAGAGATGCTATGAATAGTTACATTTGAGATGTATCTGAGTGGACGATCTGAGTATTTAGGAGATAAGATTGGCAAAAAACTGGTGACTGAAGTTAAGTGTTTATGAGAATTAAATGAGTTACTATTTTAAAAAGTACTCAGAAGAGTGCTTAGAATATAATAAGTGCTCAATCAATGTTTGCTATTATCCTGAGGCTATACTGGAAATAGGCTGCTTAGGTTTTAAAGCTGGCTCTTCATCTGTATACTGAGGATGATAAAGATGTTTATATACCTCATAGAGTTGTTTTAAGGATTAAATAAAACATAATAGTACAGTGCCTGGCAAAAACAGAAAGTGTTCCATGAACAGAATGACTACATAAATTATTCTCCAAATTGATATTATAGAATTAAAGGGAACTATTCATAATTATGTTGAAACAGGCATAAACTGGGCTGTCTTGGGAAAACTGGGAGGTATGATCCATAAATGTTAGTTTTTTTATTTGATAGTGTATGAGGGTTAAAGTGACTTGGTCAAGGCAAAACAGCAAGTTTTACTATCTAGTCTGATCTTACGTGTGTGTTTTCACTCAGATACACAGATAAGAGCTTCTGAAAACCTGAGTTTGGGGAATTGTAAGATGTTAGAGAATATACCCTGTACCTGTGGCTGGTTCTATTTAAATGTTACATTGTTCATATTTATATAAAAATAAGAGTTTGGATTAAACATTACCTTAACAACTTGTTACTTAAAGCTAAAATTCTTTCTACCCTATTTTGATGGATAGTGTGCTAGCATCTGCTTACACTGCAAAATAAAATGCATGAAAACAGTAAAAGATATTTAAGAATTTTTGATCCCACCCACCCCCAATTTCTTTTATTTTTAAAACCATGGTAAAATATAACACAAAATTTGCCACTTTTAACTACTCTTAAATGTAAAATTCAGTGGCTTTAATTACATTCACAATATTATACAAACATCACCACTATTTCCAACACTTTTTCATCAGCCCAAACAGAAACTCTGTACCCATTAAGCATTAACTCTCTAGTCTCCCTTCTTCCCAGCCCCCAGAACCTCTAACCTAGTTTCTGTCTCTATGAATGTGCCTATTCTAGATATTTCATGTAAGTGGAATCACACAGTATTTGTCCTTTTCTGTTTGGTTCATTTCACTTTGCATAATGTTTTCAAGGTTCAGTCATGCTGTAGCATGTATCAGAACTTCCTTTTTGAATAAAAAAATATTTCCATTTTATTCCATTTTATGTATGTACCACATTTTATTTATCTGTTCATCTGTCGATGGGGAGTTGGGTTGTTTCTACCTTCTGGCTATTGTCAAAAAAATGCTTGAATTTTTTTGCTTATTTTCTTTTCAAAGTTTTGATTTAGTTCAAAGTTTGAAATTATGTTTAATAAACAATAATCATTATTGAATAAATGTAAGTGCTGCAAATCAGAATCTCTTAAGTCTAAGCCCAGTAAGCATAAATCTAAAGTTTCATTTTCACACAATTATATGTAATAACAAAGATGTGTAACCAAGAAGTCAATATTACTTAGGTGAGAGAGGTCGTCACTGTCCTCTATAAAGAAACCAGTCATACAGAGTCACAATTCATAACTTACCTTTTCATGCCATTGCAATAACACAGCACTGCTATTGTCAGAGGGGCTCTCAAAGCCTTTGTAAATATACTTCATTAGGAGATCCACACCATTCTTGTCCAGGGATTGAACTGCCTTTTCAATATCATTAGCTTTAAAAGAGATGAGCACTTTCAGGACAATGCTGCCTGCCCGGTCCTGAAGGTAAATAAATAACAGAACATTTAGACATATGTGTGTGCAGGATTAGTTTCTATTAGAAAGGCCACACTGAGGTGACATTTGAGTAAAGACCTGAAGGACATGAAAGAGGAAAACTTGGGGATACCTGAAAGTACTTCAGATAGAGGAAAGAGCAAGTGCTATTAGTGTGGGTTCAAGAAATAGCACAAAGACCCAAGGTGGCTGGAGCGAGAAAACTGCATTGAAGTTCTACTTTGAACCATCCTCCAGAAATGTTATTAATAAAAATTTAAGTTTTTAAGAAAACTTAAGTCTCATTTCTATAGTCAAGTGACTACAGATGTAAGATACAGTGGTCTTCATTTATAATGATCTTTTTTTTTTTCATAAAAGGCTGCTCCAACAGTAAAGCTATTTTTTGTATCCATCAAGTCAAGGGAAGAGAACACTAATTTACCCTTTCAAGAATTCATTTCTCCTTCTATTCAAGACAAAGTGATATCTTTGGCATAAATACTGGTCAGGATTTTACAGAATGTTTCTACCACCTATTGTTATCTTCGGTTTAAAGACTATGCAATCACCCAATTTAGAAAAACATCCTTACATCCAGAACTATAACCTACCGCCCCCAAACTGTGATAAAACAGACTCATACAAAAGCAGAAGGTGGTAAAATTAAAATTTCAATGATTTTCCTCATAACTTTTAAAAACCAAATAAATTTTTCTTCTTCTAAAAAATTATGTTACCTAATTATTACACACTTAGTTATTACTACTATTCATCTAAGGAAATTCTTGGGGTTTCTAGGTTGTATGAATAGCTATGAACAGTGGGGTCACTGCCCTGGGTTTCATTTTAAACAATAAATAATGAAGTAAATAGGTTCTTAAGAATTACTGAAAGACTGCTGCAGGGAATATAAGTCACACAGCTTTTCTTAAGGGCCATTTTACAATACTGTATGTACCAAAAGCCTTACAAAATGTGCATTCTAAAATCCAGTGATTCGCTTCTAGGAATTTATTCAAAGGAAAAAAATCAAGAATTTACCAAAAATTGTGCATTTTAGTACTTTTTGCAACAGGAAAAAAATAGGTCAATAATCAAAAAATGTGACAAAAGATTAGTTATATATGCAAACATTAAAAAAGATGTTATAGAAATAAACTTATTGCCAAGATGTCCATGTACTTTGCTATACAACTGAAAAAGCAGATTATAAAATTCCATTTTTATTTTAAAAAGCTACTCATAGAAAAGCTGTATAAGCATATAGCAACACCAAAAGCAGTAATTATGATCTTGTGGTGGGTTTATGGATGATTACCTTTTTTATCTCCCTCCATCTTTGAGTTTCCTATAATAAATATTTAATATTTGTATGATTTTTAAAAATCTTGAAAAAGTAGAATGTTTATTTTGTAAAGGTTTTATTTATTCTTCAAGACTTTGCTCACATTCCACCTGTGGAATTCCTCTAAAAACACAGAAATGACCTCTGCTATTTGAACTTAGTGTGTCCACCAGGCAGCATTATTATATCTCAGTGTGTTATTTTTTCATATGCAAATTTTTACCTATTAAACTACATTATAAACTCTTCTATGTCAAAGATAGTAAATAGAATATCTGTTGATTTTGTGACACTTCGGAGGATTTGGTAAGAATGCCAGGCTATCAGCAGAGTTCACTGTGTCATGCGTGACTCACCTTCACAGCCTGACTCTTGGTGTTGATAGGGGGGTTTTTCAGAGCTGCCTGCAGGGCAGCTGTCATGTTTCCTGTGATGGAAGTTAAGGGGATAGCAGAAAAGGGCAGCCTTCAGGAACCATTGGTTCTTAAGACTTGACTTTATGCATAAAAACTACTATGGTCACTATGTTCAATATTGGAAAATTCAACATGTTGGTTTCAAGGATGTCGATCAAGTGTAAAATACTGAAAACAAGAACGTTAGAATTTAATAAAGCAAAGGCTGTTTCATCCTCGGTTTTAATTATCAGATGAACACTTTAATAACCTCTCATTTCCCAGTTAGACATATATAGAAACATTATCCAGTGACATTTTAAAAGACAAATATATATCAGATTAGGCCCAAAATGAAAACAGCCTATCCTCAACCGAAATATCTTTTTACGTGATTCTAACTGGAAAAATAAAGACCAAACTTTTACTAGAATTATATCCTGTATTAATTGAAACGCTGGGGGAAAATGCTTTAACAATCTGAATGATATATGTTAGCGATCTCTCAATATTGATGAAAAGAGACTTTATATTTCAATGACCCTTAGGTGGTAGCATAACTTTTGTTTTAGATATTTTTGCTCATATTTCATAAAGGTTATTCAAACTGTCCTAGGCCATACCTATTACATGTAGTCTCTCTGAAAGCACCAGTGAGTTAGCATGTATGAGACAAGGAAGGCCAATCAGACTGTCAGAATGTACAGTCATTTCCCTAAAAGGAAAACCACAGAGCTCACTTGTTCCTTCATCTGTAGTGCTTAACCAGCATTTGTCTCCTCTGGTTTCAACAAGACTAGAAGAGACACTATCTTTATAAGCAGATCTACTATATGGATACAGCAGAATCATTTAAGAGTCATCTCTCATCACCTACGTTAGTTTCATAAAACATCATTTATCCATCACAAAGATTGTTTTTCGACAAAATAATGTTCACCATTTATTTTTTTGAAGAAAAAAGTCTGACCAAAAACCCTATGGTTTGTGGTAAGCTGTTATTCTCAAGCCTTAATGGACTTTTAGAGAAGCAAGTCTTTTGTAGGCTGGTTCATTTTTAAGACCTCAAACACCAGTCTTTAAATAATGCAAAACAGCAACAGCTGATTGTGAAAGTTGCAGAAATCAAAGAAACATCTGTATGTTGATAAATGTTTAATGCTGTATTTTAGGTGCTTTTAAGATCAGATATAGCTGCTCCCAAATATTTTCACTCATCTATTCCCCCGTTATAATTTAATAGGACATCGATGAGTCTACAAAGCCTTCCTTATGAATACACCCAAGTATAATCAGAAATGAGTGAATTCAGTCAGTAATTGAGAATCTCTAAAACTAGAGTTTTGGTTATTGCAACATTTACATTTTTCTAAAAAAGATCTCATGTAAATATTCAAAGTTATGAATATTCAAATATGCAAAACCAAAACCCAGGAACTGACAGCCACAGTTTAATTAAAATGGAAACGATTTTAGCATTTCGAAAATGATTCTGCTTTGTACGAATGGCTAGTCTTCTATTTTATCTATTGAGGTTTATTTTAAATATTTCCAGGGATTCTCCACATGCATCCCCTGTCTTCTTTCCATTGTCTTGCTCAGCAGGTAAAGCCTCCAAGCTTCCTTCTTGGAGTTTTGTTATTAGTACTCACTCCCCTTCCCCTCCCGGTAAACAAATTCTGCGCAACCTGTATTTTGCAAAATCCCTTTTTTAAAAGAGTCCGCGGGACTAAAAGGACAGAGGGCCTCATTCAGCAAATCGCCCCCATCTCTCCCAGCATGGAATAAACTATCCGAACACTACCAAAACAAAAGCACCACCACGACAAAAACAAAATCACCCCCAAAACGCCCGTTCCTCCCCGTCAGCAATCTCTGGAACTAATGTGACCCCAGGAAACAGCGTTGTGGGAGGAAAACTTCGGCGCCCCGCAACAGTCCTGATCAGCCCCTAAGCCTCCCCAGCGCCGCGAGGGCGCGGCCGGCACAGCCGGGGCCGGGAGGCGGCGACTCCTGGCGCAACCTGAGGAATCCGGGCGCGGAAGGCGCGCTGGACCTGCAGGTTTCCGAGGGCGGCGCCCTGGGGATACGGGCGCCCTGCTGAAAAATGGGAGAGTCCCCTGCCCTCTCGGAATGGGGAACCCCAAAGAGACAGGTTCAAGCCGCGAGCGGCTGGGCGCAGCTCCGCGCCCGGCCCCCCGTGAGGGGCCCGTCCCCCTCAGACCC